GAACATCGTGCGGTCGGCGTTCACGGGCGGCCTGCTGGGCTGGCTCTACGGCGGCGTGCCGGCCTTCCGCAGCGCCAGGAGGGACTTCATCGAGCGCAGCCACGGCGAGCTCTTCCAGGGCCGCGTGGACGCCCTGGTAGGCGCCCGGCGTCCCCGTGGGGCGGCCATGCGAGCGGGCTGTGGTCGCGGGGATAACGAGCCCCTTTGCTCGGCCTCGCTAAGCACGGTCGGGGAGAAGGTCGGAGAGCCTTTGCCATTGAAAGTGGGATTTTAACGCCTTTTATTGCTAATGTTTTAAGCTGCTCTTACGAGGAAATGAGCCACGCGTGGTTGCAGTCCCGCGTGTTTCCTGCTTTGAGCTGTGTGAACTGCAGTGCTCTGCACCGTCGCGTTCAGATTTGGTAGGGGGCTAGAGGCCTTCACGGGTAATGCGCTCCTGCATATATAAATATAAGTACATACATCCATCTATAAATACATACAGTCTGTGCGATCCTCTGCTGTCTTGTGAAAGCTAGCTAGTCAGTTGTACCCAAATGGTACGTGTTTAAGTTAAAGGAAATTGTCACTAGTTATAGAAAGAAAAAAAAAACAACAAGTAACAATACTTACATTCTATTAAATGACTAATTATTTTCACACAGAATCACAGAATGGTTGAGGTTGGAAGGGGCCTCTAGAGGAGCATGTTTTGGGGCTTTAAATTTTGGTGTGCTGGTAATCAACAGTCTGTGGTGTTAAATTAGTAGTCTCAAAACAAAAAACATCAGTAGGTTATCTGTTTTGTTTTTGAAATGTGATTCTTACAGGCTGCACTGCACCTCTCCATGAAGATCATTTATGATATTTTATAGATATATCGGGACTGTGAGAGGGTTTGTTCTTCAATTTAAGTGTTGGTAATCTGGATTATTAGAAACAAAAACCTTAAAAGCTTCTGACTGGTTTCGAATCATTCAGTGTTTATATTTGGCCCCCGACCCCGCTTTGTGTGAAATAAATATCTTCTCTTCCTAACCTTTTGTTTTTGCACCTAGGTTAAACATTTACACCAGAGGCATGGAAGAGAGAAATTGACTATTTTCAATAGTATTAGCTGGATTTTTTTAAAAAAATATTTTTATGAAACTTGCTTAAAAAGCCCCTTTTATTACCAAACTTTCAAATGCCAGTGCTAAACTGCAGAGGTTGATTGTCTCTTTTTCAGTAGATGGCTACTATTGGTGTATTTAGTACATATCACTGATTAAGGGCCAATTAAGGACTAGTTTTCAGTGTGTTCCCCTTCCTCCCTTCCCCTGCCTTTCTTTTACTCTTTTATGCTCTTCTGTTACAGCACAGAAAGCACTTCCTTAGAAGGTACCCCCACTAAGTGTCCTCAGCACCATGGGAGACCAGCTGATGTAACAAACTGGAATTAATTCTTAGTTTCCTTGCTGGTGGCCTGGGTAAACATGAGCTGCTTTTCCTTTTGAGATGATCAGCTCCATCCTTAAGGCTCAGGGTATCATTCTCAGTGTTTTGAGGGCCATCAAGTCCAATAGCTGCTCTGAATCCTCCGTATCATCCTCTTGAGAACGCAGCAGACTTGTGCTGGCTGGAGTGGAGCAGGTCTGAGATGTGTAACCTTTCTTCTCTCCTACTGCAGCAATCAGCTCAACAGGCTGGTCTCAGGAGCTTCATCCGCTATGGCTGGCGCTGGAGCTGGAGAGTAGCTACTTTTGTGGCAATATTTAAGTAAGTATTTCCTCTTGGTAGTGGGAACTTGTTCAGTAGTGGGAAGGAGCCCTTAGTGCGTGTTGTGCCTGTAGTGGCTGCTTCTTGAGAGGCTCCTAGTGACTGATGGAGGCTCACAATGTTGTGTTCACAGTGAGTCTGATTGATCGGGCAAATATAAAAGGATAAATCCTTTTCATGTTTACTCCTTAATTCAGATCTTCCAACAAACCGACCCAAAAACTAAAACTGGAAAAGCTCTGGTTATACTCACTCCATACCACTATAGACTTATATAGGATTCTTCCCTGTACTTAGCAGCTTCTTCCTGATTTTACTTATTCTCCTTTTTGAGATATTTTGGAGTCCTCTCTGGAGAATGCTGCAGCACATTGTCTGTTCAGGAATGGCTTTCAATCCCATGCATGTTTTTCTTTTTCTCCTTTTTATTTTTCATTACTCCTAGTTTGTATACACAGATGTTGCTCACAAATCTTTATCCTTGTGTTCTAACCATTTGCAGATGATTCATCCTCTTAAGCACTCACTGGTCGTTAGACCTATCAGTGGTGCCTCTTTAGCCTTTTAAAAATTTCCAAAACATAATGTGCTTTTCTAATTTTCTTCCCCAGACACATCAGTATATTTCTGACAATACAGCATCAAAATAAACATGTTCTTCCACATAAAACCCTTGTAAACTAGGAATATTTCTTTCGCTGACTTTCAACGTAATGAATTTCTGAGTAGTCCAGGATCTGTACTGACTATGTCTGTAGCTGTATCGTCCTAAATCTGCATTTTTGTCTTGTAAGGCTGTGTTGACTAGCACTATTTCCCAGTTGTAACGAAGTTTATATTTCTGCCTCACTTTTTTTTTTTTTTGTGCCTTTCTTCATTTTTCCCTTGCTCTCAGTTTTTTGGCTCCTCTTGGTTTAGTGTCTTTTTTGGTTTAACTGACATATCATTTACTTTCCTTCCCAGAACTTTTGATTAATTTATTTCTGGACCTGATGTGTAACCTCATCATTTTCCACCAGGTGTCTCCCCTGAATTCAAGTGCATTGTCTTTATTCGTTACCCCTTTGTACAAGTTTTTGAAAGAAGATCTCTTCTTGTCCGTCTGCTAGTTGCTACTGTAAAATTCACTTTGAAGATTATGTTCTGTATTTGGGCTAATTTTGCGCTTGGCAATTTAAAAAATAGTTGTTAGTTTTACCCTGTACAAAACGCTACAGCATTGGGAAGGACGACAGGATTGCTGTTGACTTGCAGATGTCACATAGGAGGAGGCTTGCTGAGCTGGTGGGGATAATGTGACTCCTGCGCTGACAAGAGAGAAGGTCTTGGGGCTTACCTTACATTTTTGGGGGAGATGAGGTGCCCACCTTTGCAGAAAACCTCATGCCTCGGGAACAGGTGTCCTGCTGACATCTCTAGTCTCGCTTAGCTCTAATGGTAAAATCTTTGTACATCAGACAAGCTCTCACTGAGACCCAGATTCTTCCCCTGTGGGATAAAGGTGCTCTGCCGGGACAGAGTGATGGAACCTTTTGGTTTCTCACTTGCTGTTATCCTAGAATATACAGTGAAAAAAAAATCTTTGATTTTTAAAAAATGAAAATCAAAACAGAACGCCCCAAATCCAAACCTGGAGTCCTGGTATTCCCCTGCCTCTGGCTGAGCAGCTGCATGCAGTAAAGTTATTAAAATCAAAGCGTTTGTGGCTGGTGTGTATGTGCTGCAGACAGACTGGCAGCAGGGCAGTTAGAGGCAACCTGATGGCTGACTTAATGAAATCCAGTTTTATTTCAGGCTGTGCTTTGCAGCCCATCTTGTTCATGCGTAGCTGCTGACTTCTTCTGTGCCTTATCCCTGCAGCACAGTGAGCACTGGTCTGTCTGTGTACCGCAATAAAACCACCGTCAGTAACTTTGCTGCAGCAGGAGGTAAGACTGCTTTATTTTTGTGTGTTTTTCACTTATGAGCGAGGGAAGTACTAGCTTGGATTTGGGCAGCACTCTCGCTGTCTCTGCTGCTGGGTTTTGCTTCCTGTTCTACTGGCTGCCTGTGTTATTTTACTCACATTTAACTGCTGTGTGCCTTCTTTTTTTCCATACAGAGATATTGATGCATGTATGGAATGGTAGGGTGGTTTTATGTTCGTTAGTTCATCTTCAAAATACTTCGAATTTTGGGGCGAAAAATGCTTGTAGGGTAAATACAGCGTTTTCTGTATAACCTAAACTCATAATCACCTATTCAGGAAGGAAAACATTTCCTATTTCCACTCTTTATAACAGTTCAATATCTTGCTTCTAAGCTGCCCCTTCCATGTAAAGTTTTGCATGCCTGCTCCTGGCAATAGGACTTTTGATAATGGATCTTTTGTTCCAGGGATGTTTGTTCCATTTTTTACAGGCTTTGTTGCCATTATAGTCAGATACATGTTTTACTGTTGTTTTCTGCCTTACGGTCCAGCTCCTGTTATTAGGCTGTCATTTAAAAGAATAAAAGGGAGCCACGCTGCAGCCACCAGAGACCTCAGTTTTCATTTTGTAGATACATATCTATTTTAACATTTCTCGGGCAGCCCTTCCGAAACAGCGGGAGGATTTACGCCGTGTTTTAGTGCAGGGAGCGTGCGGATGAAGTCCTGCTTTGCCATTTGTCCTGCCGTGCAGTAGCCGCTCACCGCTGGTTGTTGAAGTGCCGGCCTCTCGCTTGTGTGCCCAGAGCGCCTCCCTGCTGGACCCAGCGCTTGGTTCTGCTCTGTTAAATGTGGGCATCAGCCTGTGGAGAGGTGAAGGGGGGCCAGGCAGCTCCCTGGACGCGTGCGAGAGGGCTGGCAGGGAGCAGGTTGTGGTCTGAGCGTGTGTGTGTTGTCTTCAGCCTTCACAGGAGCCCTCTTCAGAATGCACTTGGGCCTGCAGGGGCTGGTCAGCGGCAGTGTGTTTGGAACAGCCTTCGGGTAGGTGGTCACCGACGGGGAGCTCTTCTCCAGTGGTACGTGTCAGACGGCAGCTCCCCCCACCAAGCCTTGAATCCTAAGTGGGGCTGGAGAATCTTCCCCTCCCCTCCTGCCCTAGGGGTTTTCTTTCTCTCCTGGGGCCTCACGATGGTAATTTTTCTCGTAATGTTTTAACATTTTTTTCCTCCAGTTTGTGTTTTGTTTTTTACTCAGTGGGGACTCGCTGCTCTCCACAGAGCTTCTTGCTGCTCTTTGCATGTGGGAGGAGGCACTAATTACTGATCAGTGGGAAACCCATCCTTGAGGTTGGGTCATAGACGTGTTTTCTTTTCCCCTCCCTCCATGTGGTCACCATTCGGTGCTGTGGTTGTGTACAGACGAGCTGGGCATCTGTTCTGAGGAGCTCTGTTGTCTGGGGATGAAGGCTGGAGTCCAAGAGCGGCAGTTTCTGGGCTACCTCCTCGCCTGCATCAGCTACTGCTCCTGTAGCAGCTCAGAATCCAGAGCTCAATCCAGTGATGCTGGATGTTGTCATCCCAACTTCTAAACAATTGGGCGCCCCAGCAGCTGCCAGCCCCTGGTTCAGGAACCTGCATGATCATGAAGTATTTACAAAGTGGGGTCTCTGAAAGCCAAAAGGGGGAGCATTAGGAAATGCTAAGGAAGAAGCACTGTGTTTGGGCCTGCCTCTTTGCAGGCCTTAAGGTGACATGTGTTTTCACGTGGATTTTTCAGTCCTCCATCCCCGAAAGCTCCCTGGGAGATAAAAGAACCCATAAGTTGTTGTTTAGGGGCACCGTCCATCAGGACAGTGACCTTTGTGCTCCGGAGAAGTATGACATTTCAAGCAGAGCTAGCTGGGCATTCTTCTCAAAGTCCAGGTCTGTGAATATCCTCACAAACTAATTTGAGAATCACGTCTGGACAAGAGAGAGCTCGATGTGACATGTTTGGCTCTAGCAGTGACCTGAGGGCCTGCCCAACAATAGCCTAGGGAGCTTTATCCTTAAAACTTCCAGAAGCTGAACAGAAGCTAAGCGAGGCTTTGGCTGTCTAGATTGTGGGCTATGTTGTCCACAAAATTAGCATGAGCATCATAAATTCTGCTAGCCCTTGCCCTCTGCATGGCTGTGAGTGAGTAACTTCAAAATACCACACAGAAAGGGTGTGCAGTGAGTCACAGCTGACAAGAAGCTGTGTTTGGTGGCGGTCGCTGGCACAGGAGCACCTTAGTCTGCAGCGTGGCTCTTGGGGAGCGTTAGGCACCGCTGGTCTTGTGGCTGGCCCCCGCGTGCGTCTCTTGTTATTGCCAGGAAGTTATTGCTCTTACACATCCCCTGGGTGACTTTTGACATTTCTGCTTCCTTCTCTAGAATCCCTGCGGGGGGCTTCTTAATAGTGATGCAGAAGGCTGCTGGTGAGACCTTGCAGGAGAAGAGGACTCGCGAGCAGAGGGAGCGGTACGAGCAGGAGTTAGCAGCCTGGTAAGGGATGGCTCTGCCTGTTACATCTTGGACTAGAAGTGAGTCTGTGCCTGGGTGGTTCAGACACTTAGAGAAACCCTGGTGCAATAGGTCATGCTAGCCTCGGTACCTCTCCTCTTTAGGTTTTGCTGTCTTTCACGTACCTTCTGAATTAGTCTTCTTATTGTTAGGTGCTGCTGCCTACTTTGTAGGAAGTTGTTTGAGATTTGTGGCTTCCCCCCTGTACCTGCCTCCGTCCTTCACTTCTGTAGTGGCTGAGGTGATGGGCAGCAAATGTGATTTAAATCACATTTGTATTTTTTGACCAAATTTAAGGGAGTGCCCAGAAGTCTCTTTTCCTTCTTTGCTGCTTTCTCTCCATGCCTAATAAGGAGAGAAAAGCTGGAGGCTTTGGGGAGAGAAGGGGCAATGATGCTGGTCGCACGACACATTAAAACTCACAGATAGTGCTGAGTCTAGAAGAAACCTTTAAAGAGTTAGGGCTCTGGAGTGCTGTCTTGGTCAAGAGGATACAGTCATAAAGTTTCTTTATTTTCTCTTCCCCTTTAGGCAGTCCAGGCTCAATGTAACTGAAGTCTTGGGCCAAACCGAAAGCAACGCTGAGGAAGGACCACACGTAGAAGAGGTAGCAAGAGAATCCAGGAGCAGCTAAATCTTCCCCTGGATCTCTGTTGCAAGCAGTTGGGAAGTATTTTGATTTTGCCCATTAAAAACTCTTCAGTCAAGGGGTGAAGGAAGTATTCTGTGAATCAAGGTCTATGCTTTACACTTCTGAAAGAGCAATTGGATGCAAACATTGTTAATGGATGTGTATCACAGCACAAGCACTTGTAAGAGGCCAACCTCTTCCACTTCAGAAGGTGGAAGTGCAGGATCTGCAGAGCAGCAAGTGTCAATAGGCTTGGCGGGGCGTCAGGGTAGCTCCAGGATCTCTGGTGTAACACATTTCACTGCCAAAAACGCCCAAGCCACCTGTCCCCAAAAAGCCTAGTCAAGGCAAAGGAGTTTATTACCAGTTTGGCTGCTAAAGATACCCTGACTCTAAAAGCTAATTTCGTTCTGATAGAAGCTGCTCCTTAGATGGCAGCTGGAGGCTTTGCTGTCCAAGCACAAGCCAGGCAGCAGTAACACTAGTGTTTTCTCTCCTCCTGCCATCCCCTTCCGCAGTTTCACTTGCCTGGGTGGAACCAATTCTGTTTTGCTGATTGTGGTTTCTTCCGGCCTTCATTTTTTCTGGAAAAATAAACTTGCTTCCTAGGGTAAACAGAGTATTTTGCAGTCAGTGCTGAGGAAGAGTAGAGGAGTTGGGCATCATCTGGAAATACCGTGAAAAAGACAAGTTTTGGCTTTCTGTGTAGGAGGGTGGCTGGGGAGACCACAGCAAGGAGGGCTGTTTCTGGTGGTGATGGTGGAAGGATGGATACTGTGAGCAGTTTTAGTAACATAGAAAGTCCTCTAATTTCATTTGAAGGTGAAGATTAGGGGCTTATCTCTGGGGGAAATGTGGTTCAAGACACTCAATAAAGCTAACTTGCAGCAGCGAATGTCTCCATGATATCCGTATGCTTAGTTTGTGTGGTATTTGCATTCCAGAAGGGTACCTGAGTGACATCTCATGAAAAGAGCCATACCTGAGATGTCACCAGGGAGCAGTTAAGCGTAATGGCAGTGTTAGACTCTCCTTTACCTAGACAGTAACAAGGACAAGGGCCAGGAGAGAGTGTCCACTCCTTTTATTACGGACTAATGTGACTTACTATTAAGTCACAGTAGTCATCCCTGACCAAGGTTGAACTTTATTTCATCATGGCCTGTACCTAGAAGGGCCAGGTGACCCATCACCATTTTCTTCAGATCAGGTCAGAATTCTAGTCCCTTTTGTTTACTGGTTTTAGCTTATTCAAGAGAATTGCATCCGGGCAGGAGATTCTGATCTCCATCACAGAAGTCAAGAGTAGTTACTGTGTTCTGTTTGAATGCTGTTCTTCCATTCTAGGTGGTAACTGTTGGTTCAAATACAAGTAGTTGATTCTGCAGAGCGTATTCCACCCAGTGCAGATTTTTGGCACAGCTTGCTTCTGAGAAAATATTCTGTTTCCTAACTTATAAACTGAGTATTTTATTTATTAAACACCTGAGTGTGCATCTTTCTTTTTTCCCCCATGTTAAAAATACATCTTTTTTTTTCAGTTTTGTTTTTCCTTGCCTAGGAACAAGCAAAGGATCTGAATAAGCAGAACTATGGATAGGTCACTCAGTCTTCTGTATTTTCAGCTGTGCATGCTTTTGGTGGTATGTAATCATGGTGTGATTACTGAGCTCTTGAACAGCTTGCCCAGAGAGGTTGTGGGGTCTCTATTCTTGGAGATACTCAAAAACTACCTGGACAAAATCCTGGGCAATGTGCTCTAGGTGACCTGACTTAACAGAGGGGTTGGACTACATGATCTCCAGACATTTCTTCCAACTTCAACCATTCTGTGATTACCTTTGCCCTTCAAAAACTAACAACACTAGTAGGCCTTTCCAAGTCATATGTATTTGCTAGTGTAGTTATATAGCAATGTTTTATCTTTCATGATCCCTGTTTTTCCGACTGGTGTTTTCCCACTCTTCAGTTGTATCTCTGCAACTGATCTGATGATGTCACGCTGTGTCATTGCTGCCTCTTCCTTTTTAGTGACGACTTGGTGAGATGACTAAAGAACACCAGTTCTCTTGTGGCCCGTGACACTGATACAGGAATGTTCTTCCTTGGGAGACTAGTCAGAGCTAAGATTGCAGATGGGATTTTCTCTTCTTGTAAGGAAGTGGGTACTAGATGTCCCTTATGCTAAGCATTAGGAAGGGGAAGCAGAGACTTAATCTGCATTTAGCTCAAGTTTAGCAGCCATTTTTTGCTATATTTCTTGCTAAGTTACCTCCGTGTATTTCCTCATTTCTTGTAATTGAAGCCACTGTCCAAAACGGGATGTGAAGAATTGGTTCGGAGCTATTTTTTGGAATCCAACCATTCTTTCCAGAAAAAGGCACCACGATGAAGTTACCAGTCCTTCACTGTCAGGGTAGCTATCAGAGATGGGAGGGATACAACAAGAATGTCTTAAACTGATTTTATTTTTGCAGAGAAAGCCATCTTTTAGGAAGGGAGATGAAAGACCCGTTGCAGGCTCTATGTCTACCAGCATAGCTGTGCTGCTCAGATAATCCCCTGCAGGTACACATGCGAGGTATGCTGAATTCACAAGTCAGGGACTTGTGTGTGCTGGTTCATCATTGCTCTTGAGTGCATCAGACATTGCTGGGTCTTGAGCCCAGCTCTAGTTACTGTTACTCAGGTTCGTTAGACAGTTCCATCACCTGCCTTCATGTGTGACACAGCCCGCTTTGTTCAGTGGCTGTGAAATGGTAGCTGGGACTCTTGTGAATAACCAAGAGGCTCTACCACTTCCCACAACTTAGAACAGACATCTTTTATTACTGAGTAAAGGATACAAAGTTTACTATTTAACTTTTAATACAAATAAAGGAGAAAAAACAGGAAAAATCTTATGTACAAAATACTTGCAATAAACCAAGAGCAGCTTATCTGGTACAAAGACCCAGATATTAAGCTGGAAAGGTCTCATGGAAACCATTTGTGTGCAATTCACTGAAAATAGCAATAAGGTAATGGAAAACATGGTTCATACTATAAGGGCTTGCTTAAGAAAAAATTAAAAAAAACCTGCCCCCCAAGTAAATTAAACAAATTGATGCTAGACATAGTTGTCAGTGTGAAGTTCTTGATTTTCTTTAGAAGGAGCTATTTAAAATGTCACGGGAGCCTGTGGTGATGTGGAAAGTTTTGGCAGTGTGCAGAAGACGAGCCATTCTCTAGAATTTTGCAGAGTCGGCTGTCAGGAGCGAAAGTCAAGCATGAGCTGGTCAGAAGAAAAATGTGTAACTGTGTAACTGCATGTGTAACTGTCAGCCACAGTATGGTTGGCATGGTGGAAATATGTCATGGTTATAGCAGGCAAGAAAGCACAATGTTGAAAACGAGCTAATTAAATATAAGAAAGGGTATTCAGCATGCAGGAAGCTGGTAGTTTGTGCTAGAAAGAACAAGCAGAGATTGAAAGAAAAGGTATGAAAACAATGAGAGGCTATTTTCATGGCAACTTGTATACCAAGTGCTGAGAAGCTGCTTTTGGGTAGCACTGCTTTCTGTACCACCCCTGTCCTGCTTGCAACCAGAATGCAGCTGCAGAGGGTGTCAGCACCGTGACACTCCTTGGTGGTCTGGTAACAACCTTGCCATCTTTCTCTCCCAAAAAGCCCTCAGCAAGAATGTTGTCAGGTTCTCACTTCATTTCATACAAGGGGAAAGCAGTACAAAATAGCTGCATGACTCCAGGACTAGAAAGGGAACACTGTCTTATTTCCCACTAGTGACTTTTCCTGATCCCTTAGCCTCTCATAGCTGAACCCCATAAACTGCTCTTAGTGCTCCTGTTCACTCAAGCAATTTCTGTCGCAGTGCATGCTTGCTAGGAAAAAAAAATGAAGCACCTAGAGTATGTCTTTGAGTAAGGCAAGCTCCTCAAGCAACACAAATCCTTCAGAAAGGACATGACTGCTCAGACCTGTGCCCGTGTCCCGTGCGATTTGGACGATGCTTCTGTGCCACCCCTCTCAGTCGCTGCAGTACCTACTGGAGCAGCGGGGAAGCAGGCACAGCTTGCATGAGCTCAGAGAGAAAGAGAAAAGCAGCGACTCCAAAACAGTCAGGGCAGAGCTGAGTTAGGCAGTATGTGTGGTTGCTCAGGAAGCTTGTTACGACTTGGGTTTTTTCCCTCTTTTATCCTCAAAATGAGAAACCATTTTTTCCTACACAGTAGGCAAGAATATCACCCAGAGCAGCTGAGTCTTAGCCAGCATTAGCATCCTGCAGGGAGCTTCCTTCGAGTCCTGGCCGGGTACAGAGAACACTGACAAACAGCAGCATTCAAAGCAAAGTAACCGTGTGTTGCTGTGAGAGACTCAAAACACGGGAGAGCCCACCCTAACAAATATTTCTAGACAAATGTACAAACAAAAGCAGACCTATGAGACCTATGAAGCAAGGCCCTCAGTTGTATTTCAATATATTAGATACAGGTAAGATAATCGCCGAGTGTTACAGAGCTTTGCAAGTGTGGGTTGGAAGAAACCCCTAACAGCTCGTAGCGCTGTGCGTGCCCACGTGTGCTCCCGCGTGCCGTCCCCGGCAGCCGGGGCTGCCATCCGTGCTCCTGCGTCTCCGCGCGAGCTGAGGGAGGAGCGGTGGTGGGCACCTGGGCTGGCGCGGCTCTCCTTGCGGGAGAGGAAGGTTACGAGAACTTGTGCCACCCGCCTCTGTGGACAGGCCGCGTTGGTTAGCTGTGCTGTCAGTGTGCGTCACGCAGAGAGTCACAGCGCCGGGAACAAGCGTGAGGCCTGTATGGGCACCTGGAGATGCTTTGTCTTAAAAGGTACTGGGAGCTAGTGCTGGGAGCTAGCTCCTAGAGCTGGGAGCTATCAGTGCCAAGCTGTACGTCAAATAAGCTTTAGCTGCTCCCTGGCATAGCACGGAAGTGCAGCTGGCCTTGAGAGTCCGCACTGGGTTTTGGGTGTCTCCCAAAGCCTGCTCCCTGTTACTACAGGGCGAGGTGGGCATTGGCTGCCTGCTGGAGCTCTGCAGACCCCCTGCTTTACACAGGGGCAGCGTCAAAGGCCAAGTATCCCAAACCCAGGTTGTGGTGTCCCGAGCAGCGCAATGCCGGCACCATTCCTGTCTGCTGCCTTAGGAGTATGGAGCGTCCTTCGGGGTGCAGTTCCAGCAGCTGCACAGCAATGTGAGCACTGCACAGCTTCGGTACCATAGGTGGGCTTTTCTGTTCATTCAGTCATCTTGTCAGTCTTCTTGAATGGATTTTTCTTCCTGCTCTCAGCCCCTTTCAGAGAGCCGAAGGGTCACTGCAGTAAGCATTGCCGTAGAGAACAGGGGGACCGCAGTGTAGAATGTACAGGATAGGAAACCTGAGGTGACACAAAGGAAAGCTTTTACTATTTTCCCTGTAAAGTGAGGATGATGCAGAACAGAGGGACAGGATTCTCCTGCTGGAGTCCACAAGAGGGCTCCTATTGCCGTGAAGATGAGCAGGGGGCTGTGCTGCCTGCACAGATCTAGACGCTCAAGGCGGGCGCTACGGAGAGCTGCGGCCTGGCTCAACGTGGGATTCCTGCACGAGCCTTTGGAGCACACAGCAGTGCCCTCGCGCTGCGGAGCCAGGCGGGCTCATGAACAGGCCACCCTGCTTCAGCAGCAACGGGACAGGGCTCGGGGCATCACACGGTTTTGAGATGAGAGCCCGTCCCTAAGGAAGCAGCGTGTGTTTCTTATGCACAGCTGCTGTGCACCAAGAGCAGCCGTGCCGGGCCCTGCAGCTAGGAAACACCAGCCAAATACCAAAAAAAAACCCAAAAAAAAAGACAAAAAAAAGAAAAAGAAAAATCACCCACTTCTATAAGAAAGGGGAATGTGGCAGAATGGATTTATTCAGTAGGTGAACTCCCAGCAGGGAGCAGTACTTGCAAAAGCCCCAGGACTTCATGCTAACCAAGGTTTTTGTGTCTGTTCTAGACAGGGCCTTCCCCTGAGGAAAATATGAGGGGGTGGTCAGGTTTGGAAATGAGAAAAGTGGTCTGAATTATATTTTCCCCTTCTCTCAGTCTCAAGATATTCTAGCTTTTAGGTTACTACAACACACAGCTTGAGAAATTCATGATTTCTAGGACTACAGCTGTTACTGTAATATATCCCCCCTGGCAATTCATCGTGCTGTGGTGCGAGCAGGAAATACAGTCACCTGAATAATAATATCAATTGTAGCAATTAGCTGGTAATCTTTTCTTCAACCTCTTGACTTGAAAAGTGTCTTTTTGGAAGACACAACACTGAACATAGCTGAGCTTTCAAGCCAAAATTAATACAGTGTTTTGTAGTCATAAACCTATGGTAAGTCACTTTTTTTTTTGTGGCAGTTTCTATACCCTCCGTCAAACAACAGCAGCATCATTCCTCTAGCTCCTGGTTGGGAAACGAGTTGGCAGTAGGTCCCTACAGCTTTTGACCCTAAATAACAGTGCACATTCATATTTGCGAGCTAGCTTTTCATAAGAATATAATAATATTTGAGAATCTATGTGCCAGGAGAAGAATGGTGAAGAACGCTACCTGCAAGTATCGTCTGGTCATTCAGATGACGTTTCAGATGTCACTTTAGAGAATTCAGCTATCTTCATGCTTTCTTTCACATCTGCATCTGAATCTTGAGGCGTATAGCACTGAAAACAGACTGAAAGGGAAAATCTGTCATTAATACATGGAATTCCAGAACACATGAAAGTGCTGGATCCAAATTCCTTTTTAACAAAGCATAATTGAGAGTGGAGAGGGAGGAGAGAAGAACTCATAAAAAATGTTACTTTCTTTTTTTCTTCTTTCTTTTCCTTGGCAGAGCTTAACTTGCAGTGCATCTGAATATAACTACCCCATAGCAATAGCCTAACCTGATAGAAAGCTCTGTGAAGTATATGGCATCTATACAATGTCTTATGCATAAAACGTGCTTATTAGAAGAGAGCTGGGACCACAGCCTGGGGCAAAGAAGTCAATGAATGCTCAGACAAGCTCTTTCTTCAGAACTGCCTTACAAAGCTACGGAAAGGGTGGAGATGGGACATGAATTGCTGTTGACTTCCAGTACTGGCTGGATGCATCACTCCCTTTATAGTTCTAGTAGATGTCTACTCATTCTAAGTGCTTTCTGGCTAGGTTAGTCTAGATGTGATTAGAAGCAACAGATAACACAGGACATTTAGATACCCCCTGCCCCCCCCCAAAAAAAAATCCAAATCTAAGCTGCCACCTAACCCTGAGATGCCGAAGTTCCCTTTTGCCATTAAAGGACTCTTGGACACATCTGGAGTTACTGAAGACTTCATAAAGTGGGACAGGGTGGCCCACCTATGCCCTTGTGGGCTCCACAAAGAAGGCAAATCCATCTCCCCTCACTGAGATCCTAGTAGGTGATAAGTCCCCTAAAAATCAGGGGTTGCTATACTCAGCTCCCTTCTATGGCCCTGATACGATTTTGTAACTTGGCCCTGTGACTTTTCTGAGGATTTGTCCAGTAGGGTGCATTTAGTGTTCCCATTTTAAAACAGTCAGTTTTCATTTGTTCTATGACCAAAATTCTTAGCATTTTCTAGCACTTTAAAACATAAACATGGACCTCTGTGTATCTCTTCATCTCTATTTACCCCTGCTCTTTAAAAATATTCCAATTTGCTGACAAAACTCCCAATACTCCCTGAGTCTCAGACCTGAACTCTGGTGCTTGTTGCGCAGCAAAATGTAGGAAAGTGCAGAGTTGTTCTTAAATTTTGTGAGAGTAGATGCCACATAGCAAAAAAAAAAAAAAAAAGGAAATGAGAAGAAGGTACAAAAATATCTAGTGTTATCAGTGCAGTTTCTAGAAAAGATATTTACAGAGTTTTTCCACAAGAAGTGAGAGACTGTTTCTTGAAAAAGGAGCTATACTTACCATGCCTTGGGAGGAATCTTGCTGCTAAGGTGACAGCCAAAAGGAAGATGATGATGATGATGCTTGAGGCAATAACAACATTATACGATGGAGCTACAGCGGGAAGAACACAGTTTTTTCTTTTTTCTGGAAGAGAAGAAATAAAACATAACTGAAGGGCTCCATGTCATATTTGCACTTTCATGTAAGAGCAGATATGTGGATCTGGGTGGTTCTGCTCAAATTTTAACTCAGGTATGCAGCCTGAAAATACACTTATCCAATAAAAAAGCAGACAAAGCTGGCACCTAAGCTGTAAAGACCCTTCCATTCCCCCGCATTTGTTATGTGCTGACATTTTTAAAACACTACGGAGTCCTAAATGCTGGATCTCCGTTCAGAAAAGCACGGAGATAGGCAGAAATACATAAACGCTTCAAAAAAACTGCTTAGGCTTGGTTAAAACCTCTGAGCCAATATCTAGAAAGTTTACATGCTCTGAGGTACTCTGCAGGTTGTTCTAGGCAGTTTTATGCCTAATCTTTTCCTCTGAATTCACAGGTGGCAGGAGATAAGATGCATTAATTAAAATAGACTGGTGGTGTCATTCCCTGCATGACATTAAAAGAGTGTTGGGCAGAGTTGAGTTTCCGTGGATCTGGATCCTTTGGCCTTTCATCATTGGAGGAAGCTATTTTTCACTCGGAAATTGGAATAGATAATGTGCTATACTTAGTTTGGTTAACCTTGACTCAAAAGCAGGACAGACTTAATGCACACTCAAAGATCTTCATATTTTCATCATCACAGCTGGCACAATTAAGCAACATTTGACTTCTAAGAAACTAGACTGATCCCCTCTGCAATCTGATCCTATATGCCCCACTCCAGGGTTTCCCTTACAGCTTTAAGCATTAGCCTTGTCTCCTGTACTTTCCGGCGGCTGTAGTCTGAAGCTCTGAGTTCAGAAAAGACTTGGTTTGAAAACTATTTCAATCACACTTAAGTGTAAGTGGTTGCATATTTAAAAGTGGAGGGCTCTGTGACTGCTGTCATCATTGCTGATTTCACCTTCCCCTGAGAATTTGTGTGACAACAGTGTGTTACTATTACTATTTTTTGGTGGTGGTGGTCATCTTCTCCATGTAGTGTGAAATTCATAACATTCTTCCATTACCATCTCTAGGGAGGTTATGTACTACATCCAATATTCATCATGCACTAGTTTCTGGCATTCTTCCTGAAGCTAAATGGCACCTTCCTGATAAGTCCATTCGATTTTAGTAAGATTGTTTGATGAATAAGATACCTTGATGAATAAGGTAGAGTTCCCTAGGAAAAAATAACTCTTATATTCTCTAAGCTTCCCTTTAAAATGCCTGTACCTCTGCAGTCAAAACATGAGACCCAAAGACATATTTTAAAAGATTTTTTTGATAATAACATTAAAAAGAAATCTTTCTGACTTTAAGGAATTTCCTTTAAATTCCTTTCTACCACAAAACATCTGGACTTGTGTGCTGCCTTGCCTCATGCTGTTTCCTCTTGTCCCTCAAGCTTATGAAAGCACAGACTATTTTATCACTTTTAAGCCAAGTACAGTGATGAAATGTTATCCATACAAGTTAGCCCCAGTATTAAATACATATATGGGAAGCAGAATTTCCTTCTAGACCCCAGCTGGCAGTTTCTAACACTGAAGCAGGAGCAAACATGCTGATTTGTTAAATGAGAAAATTCTTTCTAAGCACAACATGTGGCTTTTGAGGCACACACTTTTCTCAAGCCCCTCCATTCAAATGCCAGGTCTGTAGGCTGGTACAGACAGGCACTGGATGGCAGAAATCCTACTGGGAGCCACTGAGGCTGACACCACCGGACCACGATGGGATCCTGCTGCTCTGTCAGCCCGCTGGGGTCATCATCACTCACGTGATGCAGCAGGAAACCAGGGCCATCCCCTGCTTGTCTGATCCAATTTTCCCAACCCTGCTGCCTTACAGCCATTGAAATATTTTGCTGAGCAGCTCATACATGAGTTGGTTGGACCATCCCTGAATGAATAGATACACAAAATCTGCCACTTCCTCAGAGGGCACCTCAGCAAATTCCACAGAATATTTCTGCAACAAAGTAAGCAAAAACCTACTCAGAAGCAAGCTAGTAGACTTGGCAAAGCCATTGTGTTCAACGGAGCAAGTGAGGTTGGTGTCTTCAGTCAAGTTGAGCTGCATGTTGCCGGTGACGTTGTATGGGCTGTTGCTGGACTCCGACACCCAGGTGACATTCCACACCGCGGGCCTGTTGTTGAGGACTCCAGAGATTTGGGGTTTGGGGAAAGCTCCATGAGAAGAACAGCTTAACATGACCTCATCTGATTCACAGGAACTGCTGATTACTTCTGCTGTTATGCTGGGCTCACTGAAGTCAGCTGAAACAAGAAATAACCTCAGTTACTCTTCTGCCAGATAATACAGAAAGCTACAGTCCTAGTCACCCATGATCAAAGCAAAGGCCATCGCCCTCCCCCAGATGTTTTTCCTCTTCCTCAAATTATCATAGTATGTGTGGCCCTTTTTGTGCCTTAGCATTCCTTCCACAGTCTTAAGTGAACTTGGTTTTGGCCTTTACTCCTTTACCTGCTTCGTCAATATCCCAGGGACCAGAGATTTCATGACCCTATCTTTAGAGTAGCACTTTTTCTCTCTGCCTACAGCAGTTTGTGAAGCACCAAAAGAAGTTACAAAACAGAACAGAACTGAATATGAACTGGCAGAATAAAAAATTGCTTCCCATGCAATGATGAACAATTTCCCTTTCCCCTCCCTCTTTAGATCCTTCCCAGTAGGGCTCACAGACACCCCATCTCTGGCAGAAACAGAAATGAGTCACCTGTTGGCCTCTCTCTCAGCCAGGACAGGCAGCAAGAGAACAAATTACTTTTTCTGCATCAAGTCCCTCTGGAAGGCCCAGCTGAGAGCACAGACCCAGTTGTACTACTCACTGCAAGAATGCTAGCAATAAATGGACCCTCCCCTAAAGAACAGAGGCCATGTTTCCACCACATATTTTTCTCAGCATGGCAAAATGGATGAGAAAACTGATCTGAGTGAAGAAGAAAAAAGGTGGTGGTGTTATTAGCCTGGATGGAAGCGGTAAGGAGCATGTAAGGGGTGGTACAAGAACTATATAAGGCAGCTCTTGCACTGGAAAAAAATATCTCTGTGGGTCCTCAGCAAGAGGAGCGTGGGCCAGGAGAAGAAGCTGAGTGTGCAGATTGTAGGTCACACCAACGCCACTGATCCAAAGGGTCCAAATCCTCCTCCTCTCCTTTCCTCCCCATCAGCTTCAAGTTCATTACTCCCCCCAAACCAGTGTCAGCCCCAGCTGCAGGGAGGCCACGCAGAGAGCTGCAGCAGCTTGCTCACTGCACTGCAGCACTGCCATTTGGAGCAGCTAAGCCTCTGCCTGGACTAGCTCCCTGTCTGCATCGCCAGCCGAGCACAGGGCCGCACCAGGCTATATAAAGCGGATGGCCCATGCACACGGGCAGGGCAACGGGGAAGGGGAAATGGCCCCTTGAGGCCGGAGCGTGGTCTTTCATGGCTTAAGAACTGTGAACCTACGGTCTAAACGAATGAGTAACTATGGAGCAATATTGATTTCATATCCAGCCTGGAAAGTCACTTCATTGAGCAGTCACCAGCAGGTAACAAGACTCAGCTTCTCCTAGGGTAGCTGGACTGAAGCAGTGGCCTAAAAATGACGGAAGCTTTCCCTTTGCTGAGCCCCACATTAACTCATTGTTGCTTCTCAAAGGGAGGAACAAGTGTGTGACTAAGTCATTTCACATTTCTCATGCAAGTAACTCTTCAACCCTCAGCAGTATTTCCTTCCATGACTGGAGATGGGTTTGGCAATACAGCTCCCATTTTTTTTCCAATCACTGGATGAATCCACGAACTTGTGTCCTTGCGCATATACCCTAAACTTCCCCAAGTAGGCAAGCAATGGCCAAGCCTTTTTTTTTTTTTTTTTGGTTACAAATCAAGATGGGGAATGTTTACTCACTGACTTTTCTAGAAGCTTTCTGAAACTTTCTCTGCTAAAGGTATTCGTGCTAAAATATGTATGTATAAATGTATGTACAAATATATATATAAAATTACCAGTATATATATAAAATTACCAGTATCTCTGCTTTTGATTGAAACCAACCACCACAGAGACAGTCAAGCAAACGGAAAATAATGTCAGCGGAACTTTTTCTAGCCTCCAAGAACAGATTCAGATTCGTTTTGAGCAAAGGGACTTACATTGTTTCTTAAGGTAAAAAGCCTCGAAGCTCCCGCTAACTTAGACCTTAGGCTTTGGAGCTGTTTTCCAACCTGCCAGTCTCACAGAATGTCTTGGTCCCCCCTGGCTTTTGACACAGGCTGGGGGTCCCGCTGTGGCTGTGGGGAAGCAGGCACATTGCGTTTTGTTTTGGGAAATATTCACCTTGCACCCAGGACTTAGTCTCAGCTTCACCCAAAAGACAGCAGGGGGCAGAGGCGACCCGGGGCACTGACCAGCCATGGTACCCGGGGGAGGTGGCCTAGGAGACACCTCAAGGAGAGATCCTACCAGGGGGCTAGTGTTGGGAGACAACATGCACATTTTCAGTACCTGAGGTAGCTTTGGGAAGCTGGGGGAGAGGTTGATGGAAGGCAAACAAAGGGGACTTGAGACACCTCCTGACAATTTTGGGGGGCTTCCTCATTCACATGACGTCTGACAGCTACACTGTGCACAAAACTTGTAGAAGTATCCTTTATCTCCAGAGGCTGGCGCTCAGGTGACAGGAAGCAACCAACCTACCTGTAATGTAGAGGGTCACAGGTTCATCACACACAATGATGGGTAAAACTGAGTTTTGCAAAACTTTGAGGTGCTGAACAATGCACTGGTAGTGAGATTCCGCTCGTTGAGCTGTGTCCGATTGTCAAACCGGTCATTGCTTGAGATCTTCTTTCCCTCTGCGTACGCAAGCACCACCTCCGTGATGTTCTTCTGCCAGTAGACCCGGTAATTACGTAGGCTTTCTGTGCTGGGTATTTCATGGCAGCAAGGCAGGCCAACTTTTTCCCCCACTTTGCCGTTGGCCACTTTTTTCTCCACCGCAGAGCCTAAGAGGGAGCAAATGAAAGGCAGTGAGATGGTGGTGTATCCTTGTACCGGGATCTTCTTCAACTCTTATCTTCACCTGCTCATCCCTCTATCCACAGACCAGTTTACAACTCCAGCTCTATGTGGAGGGGAGCCTACCTTGGCAATACCTTTTCTGTCATGCTCAAATCACACTTATATTTCGAAACTAGCAGGCACATAAGGGTTTCAACATGCACTACTGAAGGTGAAAGCAGGAGGGTCACCTGCCTGAAAATAATTTTTGCTGGGACCTTAAAAATATGCACCTTGGCATAAAGAACTGCCATGATAGTCATCTGAAAGGATAATAATGCACACTGCACAAACTGCTAGTATCTAAACATCTCCTCTGTGCTCCCTGTTTAGAGCTCAGTGTTAGGAATGTCTATATCATCTTTTGTTATATTTCCTGCACTCCAAACTGGGCAACAGTGGAATATCATTTTCATGTTAAAGAAAAGAAGCTTCAAAAATCCCAGAAGTCAGATACAATCCTACAATAATAAACAAAAGTCAGAGCCATGGTTTCATCAGACTCCTAGTATTAGTAATTGAACAATTTTGCCCAGTCAAGCTAAAACAATTCTAAGGGCCATGGTCCTCCCTTGGGATCATTTGCAGGCTAGCCAACTCCCAGAACGCCTGCCCAGGGCGTGTGCGGGTACCTGCCTCAGGATACAGGAATGATCGTACAACAACAAGCTAATGCAAGGGGGAAATCTGATACAGCTTTGCCCAAGTTAGCAGCAACCCTCTTACTTCCCATCAAGACTTCCTTACACTCTGTTTCCATGATCAAAATGGCTTTCCCACCCTCCTTCCTCTTCTCAGTGGGTAGGTTCTTGCAGGGGTGTGGAGTCAGGGGAGCCCAGAGAGCAGCCCCTGCTTCTGTTGGAATGGCAATGCAGTACTGACAGAGGTTACAAGTCTCTTGCATTTCATTGACAAAAAGTGGAAAAAATAGCAAACAAATGGATTCAAACCAGAGAAGATTCAAATTTCCTTCTCCTCCCCTGCAGAATAGATTATAAGAAATGTGTCTGGGAGAGACAGTGGAAGAGCCCTGAGCAGGGAGGACATTACTGAGCATGCATGAGCAGAATGTGATGCCCACCATCTATGGGATGTGAGATCCCATGCAAAGAATCTCAGCCTGAGTTCAGTTGTGAATGGCAAAGCCAAATGGTAAAACCTGCCTGATGCTGGAACACACATGATTTTTATGCAGTAATGGGCAGCCACCCTGTACATGTGCACAGTGTTCACAGACCCTTGGGATGCCCTCAAAGAGCAGGACTCCTGCCGCATATAGACCCATGCCCTAGGCTGTCGCCTGTGAAACACCCTGCAGTTCCCCAGCTGTGGGTGCTGGAGGGAACCAAAGACACTTTCTCTTGGGCAGCACCATGAGCTGCTAGATGAAGTTCAGCACTCATGAGGCCAGATGGTGTGCTTGAGATTGAGCCTGAAATGAGCATCACCCCACCTGAGGCGCACCTGCAGGTTTAATACCAAGCCGGTAGGAAACACACTGGAAAATCCTGGAGAGGTCGTGACAATATTGTTTTTATATCAATCAAGTAAAAATTGGTATATAATTAAATTAACAACTTGTAATTTAACTTTCTGTCCTTCCCTCAGACACTTTATTGGTCTTCCAAAGGGGAAAGATACATTTTTATTTGTGGCTAGCTGTACTTTCCCTTATAAAATGAATAGTAAACTAAGACAACCAGATTAGGGCAGACCAGGAGCCCACTCAGCTCACTGACCTGTGTCAGTCAGCAACCAATAGCAGAGTAGCAGAGAAAAATTGTTGTTGCACTCTCCACAGGATAAGAACTGCCATGCTATGTCAATTTTGGGCAAGCACATGTTTTAGGGCTTTCTTGAGATTGCAATTTAATCACTGCTGATAGGCCCACCTTTCTTGAATAGATCTTGCCCCTCATGGAACATATGCCTTTTTTTGGCTTTCACAACATCCTGTGACAATGAGGTCCACAGATTACATGCTATGTGAAAAAGCATTTCCTTCTGCTTGCTTTAAAAGCAGAAGAAGCATTGTTTTAAAATGTGATTCTTGAAGTTCCTCCTCCTGTGCATGCACATGCTCTTGTGTGCATGCCTGCTTGTGCATGTTCATTTTTCCTCAGCGACCTCCTTGCACATCCTCTCAATTCAGCTCTTACTGAGAGCTGTTGGAGAGACTTCCAACAGCAGCCTGGAAAATTGCAATTGTGGACTTTGGCAACACCACAAATATGCAATTTCTATTTTCTTTTGGAGTAATAGAGGAAGAGTAGGCGTACTGTAAATGTCAGGGTGATATCGCATCATGAGTTGCATGAGGTTCTCTGTGCCTTGCCCCTACCAGTCTCCTTCACAACCAAAAGGAGAACAAAAACCTCCTCGGCAGTACATGTGCAGGGGCTGGAAACTCCTGCTTATGTCACGTCTACCCTTAAAAGGCTCTGACCCCTTGAAACTGCAACCTGAATGCTACAAGCCTGAAGGAACCGGAGTGTATGAAGAGTCATTCAGCCCCACAGAAGTCCCCTTTCACTTTAAAGGTGAACTGCAAAGCAAAAATGAAAACTGAGTTCTGTCCCATTTCTGTGCTGAATGCACTCCATAACCAGGCTGTGGGAGAGGTATCCACCATGGAAATATTTTTAATGACTCTTCTGGAAAAAAACATTCCCTTCTCTTCCCACCCCCAGTGAAGTTCACTTGATCACTTGATATGCACTAAAGACAGCTACTACACTGGAGCCCTGCAACGCGTGACAACACCAAACCATCACAAAGGCTGACATTCTTTTCCCTAAGCAGAAAAACACATTTAATTCAAACTATTCCCATGCTGAAAATGCCCCACAGAGCAGAGCTAATTAAGAGCAGAAAGGAAGTTCAAAGGAAAAACATCCATTCTGGCTTGCTCTAAGAGCCAGAACCTGCTGTCAGGGAAAGTCAGAAAGCTGTTAAGTCCTTATCTTTTAACAAAAAAAGATCCTGATTTCCTTTATTCTTTGCCCACCCAAGTTTTAGAAATTCCCCAAGTCACAAAGAACTTGGTTTTCCTCAGCAGCACCTACAGCCAAACAGTACTGGAAAGACAACCACCTCTGGGACAAAGGCACGGTGAAGATATTTGACTGACCTGGAAGTAGAAGACCACATGATGCTGTAGAGAAGCAGCATCAAACTGTCAGATACCTTTAATTAATTTCCAGTGAATTGAAACCCTAGTGTCATTTGCTTTCCCCTCCATCCCCCATTTCTATGCCTTTCTGATCTATTTCGCCATTCTTCTCTCTCACCTACCTCCCTTCACACACAATCCCTACAGCAAAACACATGAAAAGAAGACTCTTTTTGTTGGGCCTGAAGTCCTTTGACCTCCCTGTGTAAGCAGCACAGAAGACAGAGTATATGCACACTTTTTTTAACTAACACTTCTGCAAAAAGCTCTGAGACAAATTGCAAGGTTTTGACATGACAAGCTGACACACTTGCGAACCGGCCCTCCAAACTGGGGAGTGTCAAAGCAGACTTGTGTTTTTCTCCAACAGCTGCCCTATACATCTTCATAACAGTTGTCTGTCTTTCCATCCTTAACTTAGTGCCAAAACTGACTTTGTGCCCAAGGGTGCACATGGGTCTCCCACCGCAGCCAAGCACAGGCCCCTTCCTCACCCCGAGCCCACGCGAAGGCCGTGCTGCGGGCTGGAGGCCGTGCTGGGAGCACGCTGCGCTCCTGAGGGAAAGATCCTCCTTGTGCTGGGCTCGGCTGGCTTAGGAGAAGGTCTCGCACACGTGTGGCTTGTCCCAGCGCCTCTCCCCAGGGTTTCGTGCAGCCGGACGGCCTGCTAGTCCCTAGGTAATTCACAAGCTCAGGCTTGCCACTTTCTCAGTAGCACATTTTCCCCCAAACCAAGCTTACAGGAAATTTGTGAAGATTTCCAAGCAAGACAGATAATCTTTTTTTTATACATTATGAAAAGCTGAGTCTTTTAACAACTGAAGACTCCCAACTGAAGACTCCCGACTAGTCTTTTCTTTTTTTCTTTTTTTTTTTGTCCCAGGTGATTTTACTAGTGAGGAATCAGATTCTCCCAAAGCTTGCCTCAGAGTTAAAATTCAGCCCATGGCTTCCACTATACTTGAAGACATGCTTTGTATTTACGCTAAAGCAGTGTTGTGACTAATTCTTATGAATACATTAATCACAGAAAAGACCCTGTAAGACGCTCGGTTAGCTTTGGTGTGGAGCCACTGCGACATTTTCATTAATGCATAAAGTCATTGCCTTCCTCTTGCGTTTGGCTGTAGAGATCCAGGGGAGTGAGCAAGACAGCATACAAACAGGGAGAAGCGAGCGCTAGCAGGCCCAGCTGGCAGACCTCTTTAAAGCGCTTGTGACTGAGTATTAACCTGGGCATGAGCACGTGAGCACTTTCTCCCCAGACTTCACTTCAGCGTGCGAGGAGGCATGCAAAGGGAGCCCTGAGAAAGCGGGAGCGAGTGGTTGTTTCACCTCACACAACCCCGAGCACGAACTTCCTCCTGGGAATGGCGGGCCTGGTGCCATCCCTCAGCTGCTCCTCACGGCCCTGACGAAGCCGAGCAGCTGCAAACCAGATCGGCTTAGCTCCTCTTTGCAGGTCAGGCTCAGTTAACTCATCCCAAATGTGGTGAAAGAGAAGAGGTGAAGGGAAGACTTCCTAGAGGAAAACACTACATCTGGCAGCAGCAACCTCCAGTCTCAGCTCCTCCTACATGCCCAGAGTAGACAAATGTGCCTACAGCAATTCACTGATTAATTACGCCAGTCTTACGATGGCGACAGGGCAGGACCAAGGCAAGGCAACCGTTTGGACAGGTCTCCTCAAGCCCCCTCCACTTGCCTCAGAGGTGTAGCCTGAGGGTGCCCTGCTGAGAGCAGCGGCGCTGTCTCACCAGGCTCTGCTCCTCGCTCGGCCGCCTCACTTACTCAGCTTCCTACCTTGGGATTTTC